AACGCTAAATATATATGTGTGTGTGTGTGTATATATATATATATATAAAATCTTTCAGATATTAAACACCATAAGCACAGACATTCAAATCTGCCCCCCACATAAAAGAAAGCACATGTACAGCACCTATAGTACACAATCACTGACATCTTCAATTTCTGATATTCTAGTTGTAATCTCAAGTATAAACAGTCTGCATTTTTCCTAGTCTCAGTTTCCTCCCTGAATATGTTTAAATCCTGTTTTCTACAGAGAAGCACCCTGCTTTTCTTTTGGTTTATATTGTAAATATGTTGTCTATGCGGTTATACTGAGACTTGACTAGAGAATGGATCAACCAATCAGCTGCGGCCAGACAACTTAACTTAGCTTCTCTCACATTCCTTCTGGTCTGTCACTCTGAATTTGGTGGACATCAGTAGCCCAAACCAATACCTAGTTACAGTGATTATCTATTTTTATTTATTTTCCCCTTGCCAATTTATTTTACGCCTGATCTGATTTTTTCCCTTCCAAGGGCCTGTGAGCCCATGTTCAGTTGCTTGGTTACTCACTAACACCTGCAAGTAATCCTACTTGCCAGATTAGGTAAACATCAAATTGATGCCAAACCTGCTCAGTAAATTTAATCAGATCAGTAGGACTAGTGGTCCATGTAGGAAAAACAATGATTGAAGACGCTTTTTAATAGGATGAATTTTCAGATGGGAAGAATGGTATTAAATAAATTCCATTTGAACACATAGTCAAATGAGAATTGTAGTGTATTATGAGCCACTGAAATAATTCTTGGCATACTTGTAATTGTGAATTTTGAAAGTTTACCATGAGTTTCAAAGTAATCATTTTTTTCAGGGTTCTATACTCATGAGTCAAGGAAATTAAATAGTTGAATATTGTTTTCTGGAAAGTTCTTTTGCTATCTCCCCCCAGAAGAGAAGATCTTGTCATCATTATTGTTCTGTCTTACAAAATATGTGTCCTTGCATCAGGACATCGATTACATCGTAGGAGCTTATACGTGAAGGTCAGGAGAGGCTAGATACAGTGAGTGACTATAGAGAAAGACTTTAAGTGACATTAAGGGAAAATATTGTTCCCAAAGTAATCATGAAGGTAAGCAACACTTTAGGATCTTTGTAAAATTGATTTCTGCCATGGCTGAACTGCAGTTGAACAATCCAATGTAAAGTTCCAGCTAGAGTGACCTGAAATAATTCTGCTATTAAGAACACAGCAGCTGGGATCCCTGGGTGGCACAGTGGTGTGGCACCTGCCTTTGGCCCAGGGCGCAATCCTGGAGACCCGGGATCGAGTCCCACATTGAGCTCCCAGTGCATGGAGCCTGCTTCTCCCTCTGCCTGTGTCTCTGCCTCTCTCTCTCTCTGACTATCATAAATAAATAAAAATTTAAAAAAAAATTAAAAAAAGAACACAGCAGCTAAGTCAGTTTTCAAAAGAACTTTAAATGACACCTCACTGGACAGCAAGGTCTAAAAAATGCTGCACATCACTTGGGTAATTAGCACACTGTGTCTTGTGAGGCCATGATTTGCTCAACATTCCTCATTTTTCTCCCTTGGCTGAGACACAAAGTTTTGCTTGAAATCAGAAATCAAAGAATTCATACCAGTGTATAGTATTACTTTATCAGGTCAAAAAAGATAGATATGATCGATTGGCTGACCTTAACAAAGGCAGCAGGTATCTATTATTTTTTCCTCGTGTAAAACTCACAGTGGCTCTCTGAGTTCATGCTAATGATCACTTGCTTTTAGTTGGATAGATGATAGATAGATGATAGATAGATAGATGATAGAATGAGAGAGATAGCTGGATAGATAGATGACATAGATACAAAAACTACAGCATACACATGAAATAAAAATCAACAGTGAAGGAAACTCAGGAAAGAAAGGTAAAAATGAAGTTTGACAGAGTAGCATTGACACTCCAAGCCTAGGACACAATCTTCTACCTGAAAATGTGCTCCATTTTCCATGCTATGACTTAATAGTGCAACCTTGGAATTGAATTGATTTGGTTCAAAAAGTTTTTTTCTTGAAAATGCTACAAGATTTCTTTAAATTATATATAAAGTAGAAGTTGCTCTTCAGACAATTGACATGCTTTCACAAGTTTGCTATATCAACATAAAATTATTTGACCAACCTACCAGAGTGGTTAAAATGGTGCTACTAAAACTGGATTTTTAGAGTGGATTTTTTTTTTTTAGTTACCGTAGAGATAATCATCTTATTACTGTGGTTCTCCACATGCTACATATTGAATTATGATTATTTTATTGGGAAGTCAATTTTTGTATGAATATAGAGATTCATTTGAATATTACTGGAATTACTCAATATTATTTCAAGAGGAATTAAATACAAATCCTAGGATTTGTACTGAGTGGCATGAGCTACATTCAGAAATCAAATTTCTATTTGAATGTATTTGTGATATAGAAATCTAGGTAATAAACTACCTAGAGTGTGCTCTCATTCTCTCATTCATTCTCTCTTTCTCTCTCTCTCCCTCTCTCCTACACACACACACACACACACACACACACACACACTTATACCTCCTTTATCCTTCAAGAGTCCTTTGAATCTAACACACCATAATCCTTCTATAATGTTGTTTTCAGGGTTAATGCCATCAGTCCATGTTTATAGATCAAAACATTTGTAATGGATCCCTTAAGGAATTTAAACCAATGGTTCTGTCTTACACCAAAATTCACTTAATACCAAGTAAAGTTAAAAGAGTTCTTTGTCATGTTTTTGTTTTGTATTTTAATATGCTCTCATTATATGACTACTGAGAATTTGAAAGTGCTTATTTTTTTTGAGAACAAGAACACATAAGGGGGGTGGGGAGCAGAGGAAGAGGGGGAGAGAGAATGTCAGGTGGCTCCATGCTCAGCACGAACCCAACAAGGGGCTCAATCTCATGACCCTGAGATCAAGACCTGAGCAGAAATCAAAAATCGGCTGCTTAATCAACTAAGCCAACCAGGTGCTCCTGAAAGTGCTTCTTTGTAAGAAGATACCATGAAAATTCCTTAAATTGTTATGTAGATTAATTTTAAAAGTAATGAATATGACCAGAAAGACGTATTCATTTGGATACTATTTTTTAAAAGTTAACCTTCATCTCAAAGATGATTGATTTCCAGGGTTCTACACACACATATACACATACACACACTCATGCACATGCACATACACAGTGAACTAGAGATCATGTTTTTGTTTCTTAGAATTTTTGGTCTTGTAGGAAAACAATGACTAATCATCTTCATTTCTTTCTTTCTTTCTTTCTTTCTTTCTTTCTTTCTTTTTTTTTTTTTTTGCAAAATTATTCAAGATTTGTCTTCATCTATTGCTCCCTACAATGACCCTAAAGAATTTCTTGTCCCTATATTCATTTTGAGTATAGATTGATTGACTCAACTGATAGATACTGTTATCACTAATATAACTGACTTCCTGGTATAGTTATAAAATAATTATATTCAAAAAATAAAGGTGTATTTCAAATTGAACAAAACAATTTATACTTTTTATGTTGAGTTTCTATAATGGGTCTGCAGTAAGAGAATATATCTAAAGAAAAAAATAGTTCTCTAAACATGGTGAGATTGGAAATTACATCCATGAAAATAATCAATTTATATGTCGTATGTCTCTAAATATTTTCTACACAATATGTCAATAGTCAATAAAATGGAATCTTTTATGAATTCCTTTATACTTTTTCACTTATACCAAATGTGGAAATATATTAGAGAGTAGATATTTGTTCTATAAATTATAATAAGTGTATTACAAAGGCTATTAAGTCAGTGAAATGCATGAATATGTTTAAAGTATTATTAAAGTAATATCTTTTACTTCTCTCCCTAACAACCTCCACATATAAGAAAGTCACTCAGTTCTTAGAGCCACAAAAATGTTTTCTCCTTTTTTTAATTGCCTTTACCACTCTATCAATTCAGATCCCTGTAACCTCTACAAAGGTAGAGACCTTTGTTTTTATTATGCAACATATATTCCTCCTGATTATCAGATTTACTGTAAAGGTGGAGCTTTAAACATCCCAGGTATATGAGTCTGAACCTTTCAAAAACCTCCAATTAGTCTATGTTGTTTTCTAATTGAGCCAATATGCTCAGTTTAGCATATCAGGTATTCCAAAATGGGGTCTCAAATTATCTCTAACACAGCGATTCTTTCTTAAGCCTGGACCATCTTTGATTAAAATGCACTTATACACTTACGTGCAAAGAGTTGCATATAATTTTATGCATAAGCCTTAGAAACCCCTGCTCTTGGGACACCCAGGTGGCTCAGCCGTTGAGTGTCTGCCTTCAGCTCAGGGCGTGATCCTGGGGTCCCGGGATTGAGTCCCATATCAGGTTCCCCGCAGGGAGCCTGCTTCTCCCTCTGCCTGTGTCTCTGCCTCTCTCTGTGTCTCTCATGAATAAATAAATAAATAATCTTAAAAAAAAAAGACACCCCTGCTCTTTACCCTCACATCCTGCCACTCTGTGACCCATTTCTTAAATTCCAACCATGTTAAACTATGAGCACTCTGAGGACTGACGCAGTGTTTTATGCAAAAGCACCTTCTCGTATGCCCCATGGTACTATCCCGAATGTCTCCAAGTAACCTGGCTGGTAGTATGTCTCTCCTGAGGTTTTACAGAATGTTTTTGTTCTCTTTACCTGCCCCCTGTTACCTGTTACCTGGGTAACTGGGGAAGATACATGTCATTCTTCAGTGGCTACTATTCTTCCTAAAGTATATTCTTTTATTTTGGTGGGAAGTAATTTTTTTATTAAAGAACTTGGACTCAAAAAAAAAAAAAGAACTTGGACTCTACTCACCTTGATGAACACATGCTTCAATTCTATTTATACTGAATGTCTATTTGATTCATGTCAACTCAAAAAGGTGTTCTAAGATATCTTTTCATTTTGATCTTCCAGGTTTCTTGAGCACGGGGGATCAGGCTGCAAAAGGAAACTATGGACTCCTTGATCTCATACAGGCTTTAAGATGGACTAGTGAGAACATTGGATTCTTTGGTGGTGACCCCTTAAGAATCACTGTTTTTGGATCTGGCGCTGGGGGTTCATGTGTCAATCTGCTGACTTTATCCCATTATTCTGAAGGTAACCGTTGGAGCAATTCAACCAAAGGTATTATGCAGGTTGCAAATTTTGACAATTTTGGTGTCTGCATGCCACCACCATCAGTAGTATGTGATGCTCTGTATATATTTCTCTGTTCAGACTGAGTGTTAGGTTGAGCTCAATAACTGTTTAAAATTTTGTTTCTTCAGCTTTTCTATGCATGTTTCAATTTTCGTCAAACTCTTTTCTTTGTCTCCTGTGGGGCTTGGTAAGGATGCCTTTTTAAGCACACTTCAGAATAGTTAGCATTACAGTTACTTTTCTTTCCTCGCAAAGGGTGATTTTTGGGAAAAATCAAAGATGTTCACAGTTCTGTCGTCTCTGTTTATTCAGTAATCAAAAATCAAAGACAGGTTCTTTCTAAATGCAAGGATTGTGTATAATCTATTTTCAAGACAATAGACATGTAAAACCTTTTACTGGTAAAAAGATAAGGAGGCAGTCATAAGCTGGTTTGTCCGGAAACAAGGTTTTCACTTGTTGTCTGAGTACAGAAGGGATGTTTGATTATTTTGCATGCATGATCCAAAATTGTCAAAGCATCAAGGTCACTAGTAGAGCTTTTCATTAAAAGGAAAATTAGGTTTGAATCTGTGCTTTTTCAACTTCAAAAGTGTTATTTCCCCCCCTCCCCACCCCCTAAAGCTTGGCTTTAAAGCAGCATGAAGTACTGAAGCTGCATAAGCTCATGAAATATTTTTCTTGTCTCCATTTTCTGGCCTTGACACCCTTTTGCCCAAGTGCCTGCCTAAGGCTCATCATGTTGGCTTTTTTTATGAATTCCCATTTTACCATGAATTTAAGTCACTCATCCTAATTGCATTCATTATTAACTTGAAATATCCACCAGAACAGAAGTGGGTTTTTTGGAAAAATCTGCAAAAGCAAATACTTTTTCTCCATTGTACATAATAGATAGGGAGATAGAGAATACGCATCAACATAGACCATTTAGTGTTTTCTGCTTTTTTACTGTCATTTTATATATAGGAAGTATACCCCGTCGATTTGTAGGACTCAGTTTTATGATATGAGCATCAGACATAGAATATTTTCAGTATCAAAGATACACTGATGTGGAACTTCTAAAGAACAGCATATCATTAAATGAGTATATATATTTGGAGAATCGTATATTATCATAGACTTAATTTATATTATAGTTTATGTAACATCTCATTTGTGTTAGTAGAGTTCTGGTTTGAGATGACAAAATGACACATATAAGAACATTCCTAATTCTATAGAGATTTTGGTCTGTAATGAAGTGACTTATTTTGAAATAGCAAATTTTGTTCTTGGTTTGTTTGTTTGTTTTTTTTTAATTGAGGAGATTATATTGTTCTAGCTGAGGACTATACTAATGCCAATATTTACGTAGGTTAACATTAGACAATGTACGCAGACTTCATAGGGTCACTTGATCTCAAAAGTTATTTCTTCCTATTTATTCTAGAAGTTTTTCTAAATGTAGAGCAAAAGTGGGCACCAAAGCCAGTCAACGAGTATAAAACTAGCAATTGATAAAGAGATAAACCAATTATTTTATTGGCTAGCATTGCTTTCATCTGTTGATATTTTGGTAAATAGCCAATTGCTATGCCAACAGTTGAAAATATAACATTCCATCACACTCTTCTGTCCTTGTGGGACCAGAGAAATGGACTTACATTTAGTTTAGTCATAAGCTTATCTCCACAAAAAAGGCTGCTTGATTTTTAGCAGGAGATGCCCAGGAGATACCTTAAAATCATCAGGTTAATTCTGTCTCCTACACAGACTCAGATCTAAGTCTACAAACCCCCCAAAGCTGCAGCAGTGTTTAGCCCCGTATATACCAGGAGTCAGCCACAGCTTGAATACACATAATAAGCATTTTCACTAATGATAAAATATATGGTTTTTCCAATACTATCCAGACGGCATATCTCAGGCAACATTTAATATGACGTGCATCTTTGCCGCATCTTTTTTGGTATATTTAGTTAATATCATTGAGCCCCTGAAATGGGAAATAACCTCCAGGCTTATTTTAATTGTAATTAGCAAAATATTTCTCTGAACAAATGTTAACAAATTTAACAATTTTTTAAAAATTATCTGTATTTATATCATTTGCTCTAGCATACTTTGCTCTGGCAAACTAAAAATATGTTCATAAAGATGTCAGAAACCAAAACAAATTTAATTGGTACTGTTTGACTTTTTGAATATTTTTAGAATTATCTAGGAGCATATTATAGACATTTTGAGTACATATACATGTTTGGAGAAAAATCTAAAACTTTGCTTCTAATTCAGACACTGCTTTAGCACCTTTGTGAAAAGAATTCTTATCTCATTAACACATATGAATAATTGAGCATGTGTTTGAATAACTGAACTACAAAGCTATATTTGGAAATTGATAATAAGCATAATTTTTAAAAGAAAATAGATAAATTATGTTTTTAAAACAAGAATTTTATTTGAAAATACCTTAATGGGTAGATAAAGTGCATTTGTAAATTTGAATGGCATGCAGCTCTTACCAAACTGCATATAGGACCATGATTTATAATTCTTAAATGCAATTAAGTTAAAAGCAGTGGACCATGTATTTTTCATCTTTTATGATAAAATATAGCAGTGCACATTCATCAGTGGAAAAAGTTAAATCACACAACCCCACCTCCCCCGTTGAATCCTTCTGCTGATGGTTTTTTCTTTAACCTAATGAAAACACTTCAAATGTTATGTCTTCTTCTGAAAGATGAATATTCAGCACACTATGTCTGACATGAAGAGCTGGAAAGAGTATGTCTAAAGTGATATTCTGTTCTGTGCCTTCAGGGCCATCCCCAGGGTATTAGCAAATCCCCAGCCCCAGTAGCTATGTAAGCTCCCAACATTTTTTTTTTAAAGTAAGTCTGAATAAAACAAACGTACAGAGCCATTTTGATGGAAGACACATGCAGCCAAATTGGAAAAAATATTCTTAAAAAACAATACAAAGTCTAATGAAGAGTAAAGGGGGGAAAACCCATCTGGTTGACTTTTATAATAACCTAGGTGTTTATATGTTGAGTGAAAAAAAATAGTTGGGAATTTGTACCACTAATATTTACACATTCTGCATTTCTCCTTGCTTATTGCCTCCTTGATCCCTAAAACAGTTGCCATTCAAAGCCTGAGACTTAGTCTACCTCTCCGACTCCTTATACCCTGGGGATGACTTGATGTACCTTCTCTTAAACAAAAATGTCCCTATCTTCCTGTTTCTTGAGTTGTATATGGGTTTTTATATACACACCTAAAAAAAATCAGATGTTATGTTTTACCACAATGTTATTCAAAAGTCATCTCAAACTCTTTGTTGTTCTTCCCGTAGGACTTTTTCAGCGAGCAATAGCTCAAAGCGGAACAGCCCTTTCCAGCTGGGCTGTTAGTTTCCAACCTGCAAAATATGCTAGAATGTTGGCCACAAAAGTTGGTTGCAATGTTTCAGATACAGTAGAGTTAGTGGAATGCCTACAGAAGAAGCCTTACAAAGAACTTGTTGACCAAGATATTCAACCAGCACGATACCACATAGCCTTCGGACCCGTGATTGATGGCGATGTAATACCAGATGACCCTCAGATATTGATGGAGCAAGGAGAGTTTCTCAACTATGATATAATGTTAGGAGTTAACCAAGGGGAAGGGTTAAAATTTGTTGAGAACATAGTAGATAGTGATGATGGCATATCAGCTAGTGATTTTGACTTCGCCGTTTCCAATTTTGTTGATAATTTATATGGATATCCTGAAGGCAAAGATGTTTTGAGAGAAACCATTAAATTCATGTACACTGACTGGGCTGACCGTCATAACCCTGAAACCAGAAGGAAGACATTATTGGCTTTGTTTACAGATCATCAGTGGGTGGCACCAGCTGTAGCTACAGCAGATCTTCACTCAAACTTTGGTTCACCTACTTATTTCTATGCCTTTTACCATCATTGCCAAACAGATCAGGTTCCAGCTTGGGCTGATGCAGCTCATGGAGATGAAGTTCCCTACGTACTAGGAATCCCCATGATTGGACCTACAGAGTTATTTCCTTGCAATTTCTCCAAAAATGATGTGATGCTGAGTGCAGTTGTTATGACATACTGGACAAATTTTGCTAAAACTGGGTATGTATCTAATGAGTGAAGTTTTCTATAATTCAATAAAAATATCCTTGTAAGCGTTAAAAAATAATACAAATTTTGTGTCCAAATGATTTAATTTAATAAGTTCATGCCAATAACATGTTAGGTTTCTTTATTCAAAATTCTACATGGTGCTATTTCAGAAATCATTGCTTTATTAGTTCTTACTTTTTAGAAGTTTATTAAGAAAGACTTATGGGGTGCCTGGGTGGCTCAGTTGGTTAAGCATCTGCCTTCGGCTCAGGTCATGATCCCGAAGTCCTGGGATAGAGCCCTGCATCACAGCAGGGAGCCTGCTTCTCCCTCTCCCTCTGCTACTCTCCTTGCTTGTGCTCTTTCAAATAAATTTTTAAAAAGTTCTTTTAAAAAAATAGAATAGTGGGTTTTAAAAAAAAGGAAGACCTAATACCCCCATTGGATTACTCAATAATTAAATTTATTTTGTGGTTTTTTTATTACACAAGACTTGTTATTATTTAGTAGTGATGATTATTTAATAGTGCTTTCCAATATATTGTTTGCCCTTTGATCCTTCTAACTTCTTTGTTAGGTGGACAGGTCAGGCATAGTTCATCAATTTTGCAAATAAGGGACTGAGGTGATGAGAGCCTAGCCTCAGGTAGATATTCATATGTCTACTATGTAGCAGTGCTAGGATTTAAAACCTCATCTTCCAATTCCAAAACTGAAATCTTTACCACTATTCCATCCCATCCTTGCTAGCTTGCCTAGGAGAAATACATACACATATGAATTTTAAAATCTTTGGGTAGATAGTAGCCCATCCCAAATGGACAAAGAGATCAAGAATGTGACTCTTACTCTCATTACATTATCATCCATCTAAGCTGCCCGCAATTGGATCTATATTTTTAAATTGACCCAAATTGTTATTAAAACACAGTCTAAGGCTTTGCTGACTTGCTAAGTTACCTCTTCAGTCCGATGTTAAGCTAATACTATTTTGATTAAGAAAAAGAATTAAAACAATTTTCTTCTCACAGTGCTTTCTTCTTTCCTAGTGACCCAAATCAACCAGTCCCTCAAGACACGAAATTCATCCATACCAAACCCAACCGCTTTGAAGAAGTAGCATGGACCAGATATTCCCAGAAAGATCAACTTTATCTCCATATTGGATTAAAACCAAGAGTTAAAGAACATTACAGAGCCAATAAGGTAAACCTCTGGTTGGAGCTGGTACCTCATCTGCATAATCTCAATGACATTTCCCAGTATACCTCGACAACAACTAAAGTGCCATCGACTGACATCACTTTCAGACCTACGAGAAAGAATTCTGTACCTGTCACATCAGCATTTCCCACTGCCAAGCAGGATGATCCCAAACAACAACCGAGTCCATTTTCAGTGGATCAAAGGGACTACTCCACAGAGCTGAGCGTCACTATTGCAGTTGGAGCCTCGCTGCTGTTTCTGAACATCCTCGCCTTTGCAGCCCTATACTACAAAAAGGATAAGAGGAGACACGATGTTCACAGGAGATGCAGCCCTCAGCGCACTACTACCAACGATCTGACCCACGCACAAGAAGAGGAGATCATGTCCCTCCAAATGAAGCACACTGATTTGGATCATGAATGTGAGTCCATCCATCCACATGAGGTGGTTCTTCGGACCGCCTGTCCCCCAGATTACACACTAGCTATGAGGAGGTCACCTGATGATGTTCCCTTAATGACACCCAACACCATCACAATGATCCCCAACACTATACCAGGGATTCAACCCTTACACACATTCAACACATTCACCGGAGGACAGAACAATACTCTGCCCCACCCCCATCCCCACCCCCATTCACATTCAACAACCAGGGTATAGCCAGATAAGAGAAACAAACTCTATTTTTTTGATGGATTGCAGTAAAAGATTACTGAAGATTCCTTGGCTTTCAACCTACAAGACTCTTACTATTTAAATAAGAAGGAATATTATGTGAATATACATATCAAGAACTTTGGGGGTTTTGAAAAAAAATTCAATTGTACATATATACACAAATCAACTTTAAAAATGAATTTCAATTGCTTGAGGCAATTGTTCTGAATGATACTTTTTCATTCACATTCAAGAATTAATTTTTTGAAGATTTATGTTACATAATGGAATTAGGCATGTGGAACACCAAACGGGAAAGAACTATGTCTGAAATATAAAAAATAAAAATAAAAAAACAACCATGAATATGCACAAGGGACACACCAATGGAATGTCAGATAATTTTCACCAGTTTTTATTTGGAGCCGTTTTATTGTGTAGACCATATTTACATATTTGGATAAGTACACAAAGCACCAATGCTGTTAATGGCCTTAGCAGAGGCTCATGCTGAAATTTGCCAGTAAAACAAAGAAGTTTAAAGACTGGCAGGTACAACATTATCACATAAGTGCTGTCAGTATAAAGTTGTGGGGATAAAGGAAACTGGATATTTTTAGCACGATGTGCATGATAATTTATATGCTTGGTGGCTGTGCTGCTGATTAAGCCGTAATTAAAATTCTTCTCATCCCATTGGAGTCTTTAATAGAAGCTTCCTCTATCAATTGGCAAAACCTAAAGAAGATTTTAAGGGGCAAAAGTAATTAGAAGTAAATAATTCACAGTAGTTTTGATAATAGGAAGAATTAGTTATTAAAGGTATTTGAAGAAACTATAGGTATAGTGGTGAATACTCGCTGATATGAATCCCAGGAAAAAAATTCCTGTGTTTTTAATGTTCTTTTCATTCCAGTCTAAATAATTTATAGAAATACAGCCCTAATTGGACATGTGTTACAGGATCTATAATTTGCTGTGGTTTTTGTTATTCTGTATTTTGTTCCTTTTGGTAAAGGTGAAGTGTGTCCAAAGAGTTACTTGCAACAGTCTTTTATGATATGAGGATATGCCCCAAATCACCACTCTGATTACAGTTCTCAGTTAATTGATTTACTCATGTTGCATGACAAAATGTTTACTAATAAGAATTCAATATACAGTCACGTCCCTCCTCATATCACTTATCTTTCTCACTGAGGTTCATTCACTGGAATTTACCCACGCGATCTCAGTAGAGTACAACATAGATACAGAACCTAGAAGGAGAGTCAACACCTGGAGGATTTTAGTCTTACACGTATGTGCGATTTTAAATGAATACTTTAAGACCACAGGAAACTCTTCATCCCCCTGTTGTTTACCAGTAACAGTATATCACAGACCTTTCCAAATGTTTGTATATGTAATCAGATGTACATTTATATTAAAAAAATTGAGATGGACTTAAAGAGCACATCCTGATAAATACTTTCTCTCTTACCTGTACTATATTTCTATTAGACTAAAGTTATGTGATTTTTTTTTACATTTTTTCAGATGACTAGCAATTTTGATAGTTTGTAAGATAATGCAAAGAACTTTCTCTGACAAACTAACTGCAGTAACAGAAACCTTTCTTTTCAGTTACTCTTTTTCAAGAATGAAAGCTTATTATACAAAAAAAAATTGTATACTACTTGATGGAAACAACTTTGTACATCTTGGCCATGTCACTGGTCATTGCGTGAAATAAAGATAATCTGGATAATGACTATTAGTCCAATGCTAAGAGACATGATCTTTGCTCATTAAAGAGCTAAAATGTTTATTGCTGTTTTGTCTTTTTTTTAAATAACAAAAGAAACATGACTGTCTCAGAGAGTCATTTTTCTAGACCAAGTTGGGTTTTTGAAGACACGTAGGTAACTTCTATAGAAAACACAAGTGTATTTGAAGGCAAGTCTCACGTAAGATGAAACTGATGAAACTTTGGCATTATGAATTTATAAGCCCAGGAATCATGGAAAGTATTAGCTTTGTATTTTTAAATACCTCTTATGTGCAAGTGTCACAGAAATAAAATGTGCCAATTGTTTTCAGTTAGAAACACAGGTTCCAATTTTCATCATCAGAGAAAAGCTCTACTGGAAATAAATGTGCAATATTTCATGGAATGAGAAGAGCTAGGTTCATAGTAGAAGGGTGATTAAACTATCACAAAGTAATGGATAGAAAGTCATCCTCCTAAGAGAATTAAAAAGTGCTGAGCAAGACATTAAGCTGACACTAAAAGATAAAACCTTCTCTATCAAGGAATTTCTTTGGTTGTAATTCCCCCTCCCAATTATTAACTATCAATTAAATGTAGATATTACTCTATAACTTCAAATAAAAATCTCTGTGAGAAGCAAAAAGTCTTCGAAACCCAGAGCGGTCTACATGCAGTTTTTGCCTGACGTGGTTGTGCTTTTCGACTGTGAACTGCCAATGTGAGCCAAGAAAAAGAATTGCTTAACATCTGAAATACTGCTAATCAGAAAACTGTCTTTTAATATACTGGTTAAACAAAAGATAACAAGAAATAGAAATGGCAACAAAATAAGATATGAGCGAAATCTTTCATGTACATTATTTCACTTGGCAAAATCAAGCATTCTATTATATCTTAATGATGGCCATATTGATCTCTCTGCATATCTGTTGCTCTAAATTTACCTATCAGTCTACCTATATATGTCATAACTGACATCTTTGTCATATTAATTTAGGGAAATGATTTAGGAAAACAAAGCATAGTCCTGGTCTTTTTTCTAAATTAATGTAGTATCAACTTTGTGGAAGATAAAAAAAAAAAAAAGCAGTTCTAGGTTTTATTATTACTCTCAAGTCGTGATAAAGTCATTGTGAATGAGTGTTAGTTGTTAGTTTTATAATTACAGCAGCTAGTTTTCTGAGTGTAAAATGATTTCCCACAATAAACGGAACATTAAGAACTGTTTTTAAAGCTGAAACATACTTTTTAAATGTAAGAAATATTTTGAATATTGTTAAATTTTAACCAATATCTTTAAAATGTATTTATTCAGACAATTTTCTTCAGAAATAAGTAAATCACAAAATTAAAGGAATATTTTTGGCATTCCTTATCAATTCAGATTTTCCTCCCTCAGATTAAATTGCAGATAGTCAAGGCTGCTTAGAATTTATACAAACATAAGGTCAAAATGGACTTTATTTCATTGTTTTATCATATAAAATTATCACCAGGTGTTTTTCGCCAGATTCAAGTTGTTCCAGAGTATGAGATTAGAAATATGAAAGTGACAGATTTCATAGTTTTAAATCTCTACTGAATGTGTTGACTGTGAACAAAATCTGGCTGACTGCTACAGATGTATCACAGGGTTCATCATTATCTTTATGAAAATTGGAAAGTTATTTGCTCGAGCATTAAAACTATCCAGTTTGAATTTGGAGAGATCATGCTAGCAGCTAAAAAAAGAAAATCTGAGCAGAGAATAGATTATTTCATTCCTCGTTTCAAATTTAAAAGTTGACCATAATGATGCATTAATTCTGATTTTTTAGTTCTGTACAACATGAAAACTGCAACCAAATTTTTAAAAATAAGTTGCCATATGTAAAACAAAAGAGAAAAACAATGCACTAATTTTCTTACAGAAAAGAAATGCCAAAACTCAATTGTTATATTCTTCTCAGTTATTTCACCTGTTGACACACTCAAACTGAGACACATACTAATATTGTGAAAAGATGCAAAGAATGTGGCAAATGTGTTTCAGCTTTAAAGGCACTGCTACATAGAAAATACTGGGATTTTTTTCTTTGGCGAGTTTCACTGAAAGATTTTCAAAGCGCAAAACGATGAATGGAATTTTTAGGAAGCTGTCAAATATCATGGCAATCCTTTGATGTTTGTTTTCTTCTGTGTTATTGGTTCAAAGTACTGGCCTTTTTCTTCATTTCTAGTAATTAGTTGTTATAGACTATCAGTTTTTAATGTGAGTGAAAATTAGATAATTTGGCTATACTTGTGAAAACATGCTCCCAAATAAATTCAATTAATGGGCATTTCCCTGCTGAGATTTTGTTATCATTCATTTAATTATCTTGTCAAGCTTTACTGTTAAAGACAATTGTGTTGGCTTTTTAGTCAATAAACTAAGGGAATTTCTCCAACAGCCTTATACCTCTCCTGCACATGATATGATACCATACACTTCAAATTTCCAACAGAAGCCTCTAAAGAAATATCCTGCTGATACGAAACATTTGGTAGCCACCTTGATTCTCTTTCAAAAGCATTCCGATTTGACTCTATTCCGGCCCTCTGATGTCTTTGTACACAGGCCAGAAATCAATTCCATTTGACAAAGGTTATGGAGTATACAGACTGGACTAACCGTGTGCAGGGTGTAAGTGCCTTTCTCCCTGGGATTTAGTTTTACTTATCAACCTTATTGTCTCTTTTAAATTTGCAGATCCTGATAATTCAATTGAAAAGATACAACAGGATGACCATGTTACAAATTTCCAGTAAGGAAATCTTATTTAGAAAGGTCTCTTCTGGCATTCAATTTGATTTTTGTATGGCAGCAAATGGGTCCAAACTATTCCTAGGAAAGAGTGAGGTGAATTTTTGGAAAACAACAAAGAATCTTTTAGACATCAAATTTAATAGTATTTAAGCATAGAAACTTAAATCTCTAACAAACTTTAACTCTTTTCCAAATAGGTAAATTTAACTTAAAAGGAGTCTGAAGTTGTTAGAGACAAACATAAGTTAGAAAGTATATCGTTTTTCTTTCTAGTCAACCGTCATATATACCACATGGTATATATATATATATATATATATATATATATATATATACACACACACACACATTATCACATTATTTGGTACGTGGTTTATTGGATGTTTGTGAGGGCCCTTTCAGACTCACACATTTACAAATGACTCTGTATATCTTACGACATCTGTACTAATGTTATAGACTTTAATCTTTTGTAGAAGGTCAAGCCAAAGTGCTAGCAGTTTTGATTGAAGCGAACGATAACAATTAAAGCTTTAAAGAAATGTGTAAAGGTATAGTAACAAAAACTCAGCAGATGAAGTTAAAGAAAAGGGACCATTTTAGAATGCCACGTCTAGGGTTGATGTCTATATTAGATGGAATGTTTAAAAGAATTTTTGATTCATTTTCCTGCACTCATCTCATTTAGCAAATTACTGGGACATATGTCATGGTTTTTGTAAAAAAGGCCATCGGGTGTCATGATTCAGTTTGTGTTTGGACATCCGTGGGTTTCATTAAAACACGTTTATTATCATGAATAAATATTACCGTGTTTTCCAAGTTGTGTTGGCTATTTTTAAACTCAGAAATAATTCCTTCTCTGTGTGACACACACGCAAACATCTCCAAGATAAATGTTCCTTTCCAATTTCTTTGTGTTGCCCACACATGTGGTGATAGGTCCAATTTGATGGAAACAATGACAGTTTATGGTCTCTTCACCTCTGGTGAATGCAGGGAAAGAATCTGGAGAGTAAATTTCAGAGACTTGGGCTCACTTATTGCACAGCTTGTCAGAGAAAAAAGAAAGAGGGAGGAGAAAAAAGGGAATGAGTGAAGAAATGAGGAAGGAAAAAAGGGAGAAAAAGTTCTCAACTTTAAATTAATGACTTTTTGCCTCCAAATAGTTCTTTTTGTAGAGATGTATGGCTGCTTCTAAAAAAAAGAGAGAGAGAGAGGATATTTAAATAAATCTCTTTAAGCCATAGTCCATTGTCCTTAGGGAATAAGACTAATAATATTTAGGATGAGACAATGAATTTAATCCTTGATCCAGGCCTCGCTCAAATTGTGTCCCTGGAAACAAAGATAAATAAAATCTAGAGTGATGTATTTCTTGTTCTTGTTCTATTTAATCAATAATGATCTCGGCAGGGAGGACTGAGTGAAGTGTGGGCATCGCTCATCTGTACATAGCCCCGGGTAAGAATACAGTTAAACAAATAAGACATCATAGAATTTCCCAAAATATGGCCTAAAGATCATTATTTCCAAGTGGCTAAATAAAAGAACTGTCACTGTTTTGCTGGTCTCTGGCCGCACAGAGCCATCAGTACCAAGTAAACAGTCCCAAACAACCTTCAAAGAATTTCACATTCCACAAAAAGGTTTAGATGTTTTCTAGGGTTTGATGTTGTTTTACATGATTACATTTTTACTATGTTTTTTACATTTCCTTACAGGTTACAGAATGTTATTTCTGAGTTCAAAAAACAGTCCCAAATATATTCTATAAATGTTTACATGAAAACAGTATTTTCCAGCCGAGTGCCATAATTTGAAATACGTCCTACTCCCCCAATTCAGGAGAATTTCCTTGAATATCCCCTTAAAACATTTCTCTCTCTCCCTGAAAATATTCAGCCTCAGTCTTGGAGTTGACTTCCTCTGTACCAGAGGAGACCTTCCCACCACCCCCATTTGCGTGTCCGCTCCCATTGCTCTTTATGCCTTCTTCTCCTAAAGGCAGAATTTGTGGGGACTGTGTCCAGGGGATCTAAAGAAGTTGTGCCTTAGGAATTGGCTCCTTCCATTCCTCAGGCAAGCTAGCAGCTAGCATCATCATTAAGCAATGGGAAGAATTAGTCATTCATGTATTCAATAAATGGTTTTCACCATGGGCCAATGTGCTGAATGTGAAACACAATAGGCTGAATGTTAAACACTTACCAATAAAATACAACTACTGCCATACTCGGACTAGGTTTAAACACGTAAGCTATTCA